TAGCTCATTACAGCAGTATTCTCTGAGTGCGGCCTCTGGCTTTACCTGAATAAGGGGCTGTAAGCAGAAAGCAGGGATTACTGGTATAGGGAGCAGCTCGTGGCACCCTTAGGTGTGTGGATGTCCTGTGTGGTGATGGCTGCTGCTGTTTGCTTTCTCTGCCTCACCACCAGGTGATGAGCTTCTCTGGGAGCTCTGGCTCTGATGATGCTGTAGCGCAGCTATATGCCTACTGCAAGCTGGGGAGAATTTGCAAAAGGAGTTATTTTGGAGAAATGGGTGGTTATACTTGGGAGGAAAAATCTCCTGCTTTCTATCAGTTTTGTTCTTTCCTTTTTAAGCTCTGGTTAAAAAGACTTCTGCAGCTTCCAGTGTTGTTGCCAGCCTGGAAGTGTTGGATGGACTCCATGGCCTTGTTGATCACCCCTTATGCAGCTGGATTAGCTGCTCTCATCTCCTTTTTAACACAGGCTATTAGTCTCTCAGCAAATTCTGATATTTAACACATGTAGTATTGCTTGCCCAGGCTTAAAAAGGAAATATTCAAGCTAGAGCCACCATAATTTGTTGTTAGATTTGGTTGATCTAACCTGTACCATATAGCGATTGCTTCTAGAATGTAACATTCTGAGTATAAATTGTGCATTTTAATGAACGAAAATCTTCTTTGTGGCTAAAATCCCTCCCACAACCTTTGTGTGATAGAGAGCAACTACGGAAAGTATGCATGATTTCTTAAACTGATAGAAAATCAGCGCAGTCATAAAAGGCACACATGGCTTTAGCACTGCTGCTGAGAAGGAAAAATGAAGAAAGCCATTGCTCAGTAAGGAAAAGGCAGGGCTGAAGAATGGCTTCTGCCAGGGGAATGGCTTCTCCCTGGGAAGCTCTCCCTCATGCAAAAAAGCCCCATTCCCTGAACACCCCAAGAGAAGAAGGGCTCTTCCGAAGGTCTGTTCCTGCAGGTGCTGCAACGTGGTGCTATAAAGTGTGTGGCTAGAGGATATCCTAAGTACATTTACATTCATATAAAAATATACGCATGTGTTTGTACTATTTATGAAATATGAAGCCAGTGGTTTCTTAGCCAACCCCTTAATTTGTCTGGAACAGTGCAGGCATAATGGAAACTGCCTACACATTTTTCCATTAAAAGTTACAAAGGAAGGAGAAACTGGTGATAGAAAAACACATGCTCTGTCAGCTGTCACATCAGTGCCTTGCAGCCAGACAGCACTGCACTCACACTGGTTTGTGGACAAGTTGTCCTCCTTATACTGGTGCTTACTGCTAGTCTCCCCCTCAAGTGCACTCCTGCCCTTGTGGTGTAAGTGTGGGCAGGGGAAGGGATGTGGCTGTGCTTGCACAAGTGCAGTGTGAGATTGGAGCTTGTTCTTCTCTGCTTTGTACCTTCCTCTGTGATTAGAGAGAAACTGCCTGTGCCATTGCCCCTCACATGAGGCAAGATCCTTTTCTGCTGTTGTCCCACTGTTGTGCCAGCCACAGCTGTGACAAACCCAAAGCTTCATCCAGCCCTGGGCAGCAGGAGCCGCCTTGCCTGTAAAACAGTCAGGGGGGCATCACTGCTGGGGATGCGGAAGTGACAGAATCACTGCTGGTGTCAGCAGGCCCCACTTAGGAGAAGAGTCAGGTGCATCAGTTATTCATTGAAACCAATCCTACAATCACAATGAAAAGGCTATGAATGGAAAAGGCGGTCTTATGAACTCCCTGGCATTTTTCTGAAGAATGTGTTGTGTTGACAGTGCAAACCATTCTGCACAGCAGGGGGGGAAAATGCAGCTGGTAAGAAATGCAGAACTGCAGGGATCTGTGAATGTGTGTGTTTTTGTTTTTCGCTATATTGTCCTATAACCCATATGCATCACTGCGGGTTATGTTAGTGGAATTTAGCTGTTCAGCAGCTGTTCAGGCAATGTGAAGGCAGGCCTGCTCATCCTTTTAACCATCAAAGGTACACACTCAATCCATTTATGGCTGCCCCACGGCACTGTGCCACACATCTTTCTCAGCAGCAGTGCACTTCAGGCACTCCTGCCAGCTTGGCTCTGAGGCCATGCGGTGATCTCTCTGTTGGTAGATCAGCATTACAGGTAATGAGGATAACTTGCCTTTTTCTTTTTAGTGCACCAACTACTGTGCTGGCTCAAGGGAAAGGTAGCACAGAGGAATGAGTAGCCAGGAGATAATACCTTGCTCTGGTTTTGCTGAGAGGAAATAAGTAAATAGAACTGCTCAGATATAGCAAACTGATGTAAAATCTGTACATTAAGCTTCTTTTTGGGATTGCCACTGTAGATGCCATGAAGATTTCTCATTGATACCGTAAGCCTTGTGTAGTTCTGCTTGTTTCAATTCCCCTCCTGTCTTTGGTTGGGCCTTCAAATATGGTTGCTCTGTGCTACGTCAGAAACATGACAGCAGCTTCTGTTAACTACTGGCCTTTACCTGGAAATGGGTGACTGTGAAGTCTTCCTAAGGTCTCATTTCAACATGGAATTCAGGAGATGGAGCCAAATTTGGCCATGAAATCTCCAGCACTTAGCTAAATTCTGCTGTTCCAAGTCATTCCAGGTATAGTGTCAGTTGTTGGACACTAAATTAAGAGAAAAAATTGGAAAAGGAAAAAGCAGCCTTGTCCTGAAAGGATATAATTTATTGCAAAACAGTACTAGCTTTGTTTTTAATGAAGACTATTGCTTAAGACTGCAGAAGTGTGAGTCCTCTCTTGATCTCTGCTCCAAGACTAATGCTTCAAAAAAAAAAACTGGTATGTCCTTATCAGCGGTTTCAGCTCCTTTAGTGCTTCCAGCCTTGGCAAAAAGGGAGTGGGAAGACTTGAAATGTTGTGCATCATTTCATTTAGTAGAATAATTTGTCCTCTTCCTTGACACTTTATTTGTTATGTTTGGTTTCAATGGTACAGTAACATCTCTCAATAGCACCATAATTTACTAATCTCTGAAATGAAGGATGTTTTATATTTCAAGAATTGTGAGTGCCCTCTCATTGCCCTCCCAGAGAAACCTGAGCCTGTTGTTCACCCACACACTTAAGTGAAGTAAAAAGCAGGGTCTCTACTGCCATACTGCAGAAAATACCTGCCCCCTCTAGCAAGTGACTGATCCTGGAGTTGCTTTTGCTTTTCATCCATCTGCTATCAATTTAACTGGCTCAGTTAGCTAAGGGATCCTTCATACATCCTTGCAAGAATTTACAAAACCTGGTTCCTATAAAAATTAAGGGGCAATCCCCATGTTTGCTCTCTTGCTCAACTAGCCATGTTGCATTGCTGCCAGTTAGTGCTAAAACATAGCCACGTCTCCCTGGATCTCCAGCTTGAGCCTGGGGGGGGGGGGGGAATCGGATGGCTTGGCCAAGATTCCCAGCCGGTGTGGTTACCTTGGTACCTTAGTTGTGGCGTGTGTGCAGTAGCTTTGCATGGGCTGCTGTGTTTCTGGATATCTGGAGCACAAGTGCAGTGCTATGGCTTTGCAGCTTATTAAAGTAGATCTGACAGGCTGGGAGTAGTTTTGCAGTGCACACCCTGCACCTTTGGTCAGTGTGGGTGTTTGAGGCCTGGGCTGCTTTTTAGCCCTTTGAGTTGTGACACCTGGGCAGATGACCACCATCCTGATGCTTCCCACACTCAGCAGACTTCTTACATATAAGGTAATGCTGGGAGGAGATGCGTGTGTCTGCCCAGGAAGCTGCAATCAGCTTGTACCTGAAAGGCCTAGCAGAGCTAGTGCAGAGATTTACAGTATGTATGTATGAGTTCACATATAGAGTGAGAGGAGTTGTCTTTTGTGGCTGTCTTGAGTCTTTTAGTTAAGAAATACTGACTGTAATGCAAGATTGGCTTTACTGCTGTGTGCAGATCCAGCTGCAGAGTTCATATGGGCATCAGAGCATGCAATCTGAAGATACACATCTCTCTAGTGATGTTTACCCTTAGCTTTCCAAATGAAAGCATTACTGATGTGCAGCAAGACAGACTTTTATGGGATGGAACTGTAAATATTTATTTACCTGTGGTGTAATCTTTATCTTTCATAAAAATGCAGGTATCAGCTGCTTCTTTACAGGGTCATGTCTGTAAACATGTGCTTTATAAAAATTTGGAAGTGAATCTCTACCTAACAACAGTCATTCTTGGCAATTGTGTTCCATCTACTGCAGCCTTTCACGTTAGAGACACATCCCATATGTGAGCTATTGTTATAATTCAATAAATACTTTACAAAAACAATGCTAGCTTTTTTTGCAAAAAATAAAATAAAATGAAGTTTTAACTGAATGTAGTTCCTCCCAGATAGCTTCTTGAAAGAACAGTTTCTTCTGTAGGATACTGTGCCCTCAGCATATGGTAAAAAGGGAAGAAAAAGGCTGGGTGCATGCTCTCTCTGAGGGAACTTACTTAGAAATGTGTATTCCGCTTTTCCTATCATGGAAAAAAACAAACACTCCATATTTAAATATTGGGCTTCAGTCCTCCAACATGCATGCTTAGCTTACAGGTAGTTGCCCTGAAGATCTGCTCCCCAGTATAGACACTGGCCCTGCCAGCTGTAGTTACATATCTGGAGCTGTGGGACCACTGCCCTGGGACTGATTCTGGAAAAACCACAACTTTCCCTTGCTGCAGGCCTGCCCCAAGTTGATAGTGAGGACTTGGCCTGAAACAGAAAGATTCCAGTTGCTGATGAGGGTTTATAGTAAATTAAAAAAAAAAAAAATTCCTTTCTTAAACATGATTAGTCATGAAATCACTTAAAGAGAAAAGAAATGCTGTAGATGCATTAATCTTGTAAACCATTCTCATATGGAAGAGTATATTTTTCAAACCCCTTCTTCCTAATAACTTTTAAATATGTGCCTTCTTCAGCTGGGGCCTTGGTCCTGATGGTGATGGCAGCTGCATCCCTACCTCCTGCTCCCCCTTCTCACACATTATAGTTGGTGAACAAAGCAAAATGCACATTATGAAATGAATGTTATTGTAGAATAAAATCTTACTGGGACAAATTTTATGTATGTCCATATGTAAAAATAGGTGTGTGTGAGAGAGAGAGATATGTGCTTATAAATTACACACACTATGAAAATAGTTATGTATTATATTACAACTATACACATTCATTATAAAGAAACTGATCAGCGCCTGTCAAGGAGATAGTGCAGCAGCAGTTATCAGTTCTTTGGCATCCAGGAAATGAATGCTATTTTCTGTCTGAAGAGGAGGAAAACCTCTTCAGTATTCCCTTGCTTCTTGAAATTGCTTGTAATAGTCTTCATCTGTAGGGTTTTCTGTGCACTTCTGCCCGTTGTTTGGAGGTCGTGCTTCATTGTACCGGCTCCAGTCACCCTTGCATATAATCCAGGGTAGAATGTCCACTTTGTAATGGAGTTCTGCTGAAAATTCAATGCTGATCAGGTTTGGTGTACCTGCCCCTTTCCCTCTGGTAATCAGCTGCATGTTATCATCATAACAGCAGTGCTGAGCTGCTAGTGTTGTGCTCTCCAAAGAGAGCATGGAGCGGATGCAGTACCGTGCAGTGGGCTTATAGATCTCCAGTTTTTCCTTTGGACCACTTGCATCTTTCCAGCGAAAGTTTTTCCTCTTAATCCGATCATAGATGTCAGCAGTGCTGTAAGCAACTTCTCTGGGGTAAGAGCAGGGGCAGCTGGGAAGATCATTGACCACTTTGTGCATGTATTTCTTCAAGAACTCACTTTTGCAGCTCATCCATCTTTCACAGCTATCAGTATCTGTTTAAGGGCAGGAAAGGGAAAGCTTAGGATACGCAGCAGCCCAATTGATATGATCTGATAACAAATGAGTAAAGCATTGCTGTTCAGCTGGTGCTTTGCTTAAGAAACCAAGGGCAGTAGCTAAAGCTTGCTGCCTTGCCTACAGTGTGTTAAGGGGCTGTCCTGTTCTATAAAGAAATCAAACAGGTGACTGACTTCAAGGGCCTCAAGCAATGCTACTCTGAATTAAACTTCAGTACAAATGCCAGGTAATAATCCTTGATGTTTCTTTTACATGGCAAATTCTAGCCCAGCCTCTGGTATCCCTATGCAGCACAAGAGACACTGTCAGAGTTTTACAAGCAACAGAACTGAAATTGGGAGTTTGCATTCTCTGAACTTGTACAGGGCTTTGAAGACTGTCTTTGATTTCAAGCCCTTGTCTACACACTCACCTTTGTAAGAACAGCAGATTTGGAGGTTGAAAGATTTTCTTACTGTGCTGGAAACAGCAAGACGGCAAGCAAAGCCTGGATTACTTTCAAGTTTATTATTAAGCCCTAATTACGTCTTCCTTTTAACTACCAAATAACTTTTTCTCTCTTCCTCTTCCCAAAGGGATATTTCTTGGCTGACTTCTCACCAATGCATCAAGAAATTATTCATATTCTAAAAGGGCATATGTGACATAATATCACAGTGTCTCTATATTGGGAATACTTAATGGCACCAAGGTCATGACTTATAACTGGAATTATAGACTTAGTCTAGTAGTATACTGAATACTGGCCTTTTATTATTTCCCAGCAGTCTTGAAAGAATCCATTAAATCATCTTCTACCCAAAATATTGTTTAAGGTGTCCATGTCATGCTGTGGGCTTTAAGAGAATTTGCACATCTTGCTCCACACTTGACAGGACTTGAGTAATGCAATGACTGGGACCTAAAACTCTTCCAGCAACCATTCCTGCAAAATATTTACTTAGCGATCCATATTTTGTTTCACTGCCTCTTTAAAGGTCCTTTCCCAGCTGTCACTGACTGTTGTGCTTCAGCACTGCAGGAGGGAGGTGCTGCAGTGTGCTGTTTACCTAGTTGTTACCACTGTTTGGTCCAGCAACCAGTATTTAAGAATGACCACTGCATGGTTTCATTGGAGGGATGGAATCAGAATGTTAGGAAGGTGGGCTGAATTTTAGATAGACCAGGTATCAAGTCATGCCCTATAAAGATTACTTTAGCATTGTAAAAGCTGTTTGTGCTTGTAGAAGTTATTGCCATTTTGGTTTTAGTGCGATGGCTGTATTTAAATTGCTTTTATAGTATCTCCCATGCCAAACAGCGTTTGATTGTTGCCATCCATTAGTATGGACACAGACGGCTCTTTTCTGAGCTAGGACAGAGACTCACAATTTTACAGTGAAAGAGGCACAGAAATTTGTTAAGAGCAGAAAGCCTGCGATGGAAGTGAGTAGGTCCATGTTGTAAACTCCAGCAAGATAATAAATAACCATTTTTACCAATGCGTTTTACAACAAACTTAAAATGTTGGACTCCCAATGAGAATCAAAACAGGAAAGAACAAGTAAGTTTCTTATCCATTACTGGAAGATTGACTGACAGGTTGACTTACCCACTTCAAACAGTTTGGTGGCATTGAAGTCTTCACTCCCAGCCAGTAAGCTCACTTCTGTGGCTGCTGTTCGGAAGGTATCTTCAATCCCTATGGAAAACGTGTTAATGGTGGTGGTGTTTTCCCATTAGAGCAGAACAAAATCAACTATCTCTTTTGCCACCTCCTCCTCCCCCCTATTCTGAAACCTGCCTTGTTAGTCAAAGAAGCATTCTGAAGTTGTTGCTGGAGGGAGTGTTCCTTTCAAAGCATAATGAACATGGAATCTGGAGTGTTACAAAACTAACTGCTGTTTTAAAGAATTAGCTTAACCCCAAGGTAAAAAGTTTTTAAAGTTTAGAATTTAGATTATACTTAAGCAGCAAATTGTTCAGTTTTGAACCTAGTGTAGGGATGGATAGGAGAACCAATGTTGTTCTATTCTTTCTAAACTCAAGACTTGCCAGCAGCTCCCAGTAATTCAGGTAGAACATCCGCACATACTGCACCTAATTAGCTTTATCTGACCAGCATGGTCTCAAAAGCACATAATACAAATGCCTGACAAAATAAATATGAGTTCCTGACAGCAACTATAAAGCACTAGGGAAACAACATTTGTGTCATGTTGTAAATCACAACAACATGTCTGAAGACAGGTGTATAAATTCATGTCTGTACATGGGCAAACAGTTTTCAGGAAGCGCAAGGAAGAAAGATGCTATTACAAGAATTGTACTTGCTGGTCTTTCCTAGTAGTAGGAGTTGAAATGTGAGTAGCCAAGAGATAAATAACTTCACCTATCAAGCCCATCCCCCAGCTCCAGCAGCAGTATCACAGCTATAGAAGCAGTGGAATAAAAATATCAGGATCTTCCAGCAATCGCCAGCTAAGCGTCTGCTATCAGGAGCGAGACAAATGGATTTCCAGAAAATGACTTGATCCTTCTGAAGCATGCATCCTTTCTGTGCTGTTTTAGTTCACCCTGCCTAGCAACCTAATGTTTCCCAGTCTGTGTTATGTAGCCTTAAAACAATTATCTCTTCAAAGAAGCATTTGAACACTATTCTTTTTTTTTTTCCCCTTGACTTAAAACCCTCTACAGAGAGCAGAAAGCTCTTTAATGCATGATAACTATACAGTTAATAATGAAGTCTGCTCACCATCCATCTTCTTTCCACTGAACTTTCTCCTAATCTCCTGAACTGGGACATAATAGTGGCTTGCAAAACTTCAAAACAGCCTCAGGCAGCTTTTCAATAAAATTATCATATGATTTTGCCTTTACTCCAGCAGCAGATGAAGAATAATAGATACCCAAGAATCCATTACAAGGCAGTAATTCACTGCTAGCATTATAAACAGTAGAAGCTGAGCTTTGCCCTTGTCATTTTAAAAATGTCAGCACAGCCTCAAAGAGTGAATATATTTTGCTTGCTGATTGTTGGGGGTCTGTTATATGACATAATACGTTCTTTCAAGCTTGCCCCAGTTTGATGCTAGCTGGTAATAAATACTGGAAAATAAAACAGGGGGCTATGTTCTATATTCTGGATTTAATCCCTTATGATTTAAGCTTTCAGATGTATGAAAAAAATCCAGCAGTATTTTTCTCCTGAACTGCCTAGAAATAGTTGTCTTGTAGTGAAGGTACACATCTAGCTGTGAGTGAAGCTCCTCCGACTGCCTCACCAAGGTTCCTAAACCATTAGTCCAGCCCTCCTGACATTTCTCTTCCCACCAAAAACACCAGACCACCAATTTCTGTCTTTCTGAATCACTGAGTAAGCGTAGTGATACCACCATGGCACATGTTTTCACTTCTCTCTAACCTTAGGAGTAACAAAATGACAAATACCCCATCATTGTTGTCCTTTCAGTATCTAAAGAGGGGTATAAGAAAGAAGGGGACAGGCTCTTCAACAGGGTCTGTTGTGATAGGACAAGGGGAAATGGTTTCAAACTAAACGAGAGGAGATTTAGATTGGTTATAAAGAAAAAGGTTTATATAGTAAGAGGGGTAAGGTACTGGAACAGGTTGTCCAGAGAGGTGGTGGATACCCCACCCCTGTATGGGGCTCTGAGGCACCTGATTCAGCTGTAGGTACCCCTGTTCATTGCAGGGCATTTGGACTAGGTGACCTTTAATGTCCTTCCCAGCGCAAAAAACTATGACTCTATGAACTACTGCATCACCACATTGCAAGTTCACCTAAATAAAAACCCACAATAGTGTTTAAAGAACATCATGAGACAAGGTTGCTGTAGCAGCTTTAAAGTTTTATGAGCACTCAGCCCTGCTTTCAGTAAAGCAAAAGCTTGATGATGATGATAACAACACTTGCTTTACTAGTGTTTAATGTCCATGCCTTCAGGAAGGCAGGATCTAAGGAAAGGCTCCTTGTTATGGCTATATTTTCTGAACACATTCAATTTACAACTACCTTTTCCTTCATCCCAACATGCACCCCAGTTGCTGCAGGACCAAGCTTAATATTTATAAGTCTTCAGCTAACCAAGCAACATGGTAACAGACAGGGGGAGACATTTCCACCTTAACATAGCTGTTGACTTCCAAGGACAGAAGATTTTGCAGCCCAACAATAACAAAATCTCTTGAGTAAAACACAAACAAGTTTTTTTTTTTCCTTCATATTAATATACAGATGCAGAGTCTTACTCTGCATCCTTAGTCTGGATATGTTAGGTGCACACCTTATTAGCCATATAAGTGGGGGGAGCTATTTGTTCAGAGCATAGGCATGTCCACTCATTGCATAGCAAAATGTGGGCTCACTAAGGCAACAGCATGCCTGTTTTGAAATCCTAAAATTAACACAAATTTGTTACGTGACAGTAGATTACACCCTTTGGAATACAAAACGTACTGGGCACAAAAATGACTGCCGTAATCTAAAATAAGCCTGTATTTGTCTCTCAAGTCTCAGGGGATGGTAAAGTGTATCTGGAGACATATTATTACTAGCAAAGAACCTGCCATTTCATAAATGCCCTTGAGAATCAATCTCTCTCTTCCCAACAAAACTCCTACCTAGCCAAAGACCCAACGGGCCTCGGCTTTATGCACAGAAGGACTCTTCCCCTGCCTTGACCACCCCTTCACGTCGCCCTTCTGCTAGGGCAGCCAAACCTGGGCAATTTGGCCTGTCGCAGGTCCGTGACTCGGTGGCAGTGCAGGCATACCCACAGGACCTCGTCCGCTTCTGACTGCCGCTCCCACAGGTGACGCTACAAAGGGACCACGGGCTCCAGTCTCCATCACCATCAATGTAGTCTATATAAAAACAAAGATGACGAAGGAAATTAAGAAACAAAACTCCTACTACCCAAAACTACTGTGTGTAGTGTTTTTTATTAGAAGGCAAAGCAGGAATGGAATCCAGATGTCTCTACCTGAAGCTCGGGCTAAGTGCCAGGCATAAGCCTGCTGTTTAAATGGTTTTCACACTTGATGCTCCTCGGGGAAATGCATGCAGCATTATTTGAAAAAATATTTCCTTTCTCTTTTGACCTTTTGGCAACTGAGACTTCTCAGCTGCAAAGCAGGGTCATAGACTAACAGTACACATCTACTCACATAATCTCCCTGCACATAGGAATATGTTTTCTGATCACAAACTAATACTAGAGGATAAATCGCATTTCATTTTTCTTCTCTTCAAAACACACAGCAATAGCACAACAATACTTACCTAATTAACTTTTAGGATACCATGAATGCTGGACTGTGAGAGGCTAAAGGTCATGTCTGAAAATTGTAAGTTTTTTTTTTTCCTTCTGCCCCTCAAACAGGAAATAGATATTACCAGAATACTGCCATAAATGTAGGGAACTACAAAGTCATCTGGCACCAAGAACTACATGCAATTTGTACTGGTTCACACAAATAATTAAATAACACCAAATCTGATTCCTAAGTAAGTAGGAGGAACCTTTTAGTGGAAACATGAGGTTACTGTCTTCTAGTAAACAGCCAAGATAAACAGTAGCAAGTCTGCAAGATTTTGTGCCACCATTAAGAATCTGAGCACCTTCGATCCAGTCTCTTATGTCTGTTGTATTATCTCTTGCACATCCCACCTTGTGAAAGGCACCAGGTGGAGCCTGTGAACCAACCCCAGTTCAATTCCATTCAAACTGGCATCTTGCCTTTCAGCTCCACCAGCTGAGCTTTGTCTCACTACAGACTCTTGGCTTAATAGTGTTCTCTGTAATCTACATGTGCTCAACTGACCGTGCGATGGTAGCTTGTAGCTTTGCTCCTTTGGGCTACACTCATAGCAGTAGCAAAGCAAATGTGAGTTCAGTGACTGTTCTATAGATACAGGCTGACCGTGTAGGCACTGGCAAGATGCAGGGACAGATCTTTGAAAAGGCTTCCACGCTACACATGATTCCCACTTCCCCTTCACTGCCATGCTGTCTGTGGACTTCCTGAGCTGGTTAGTAGAACATGACTTGATTTGTACCATATGTAATGACTGATGACAACTCTGAAAGGTGCTATTAAACATTTACTGTCAGGAGTATGCAAAGGTTATATATCTCACTCATAGCAAGCTGCCTAGACACAAGTTCCTAGCGGCAGGGACCTTGTGCGCTTTTCCTCCTTTTCTTACACAGCTGCTGCTGAATCAGGTGTCCGCTAACATGGTGTGGGCAGAATGATGATCCCTGCAGTCTGTGCAATGACACCCAATTCTGGGATGTACCAACAGGAGGGCACTACAGCAATCTGAATAGGATTATATATAACATAGATTATAATGGAGAGGGGCTGGAAATAGCATAGAAGCCCCCTGTAGACATTATCTGCTACAACATCCTCCTGGCAAAGGCCAGAAGAGCACAACATTTTACATTAGTAAGAAGGCCAAGAGTTTCTTGCAATTAGTAAGGTGCTCTGGAGCATGATAAAGAGCTCTAATTAATTTGCAAGCCTGGCTACCTCATCTTTATAATGCATTAAAAAGCATACAGTATCTAGCTACTATTAAACATATTAGGTTGAATTTTCTTCTGGACCTCAACCTGTTCTCCCTATTTTAAATCTCTCTCTCTCTCTCTCTCTCTCTATATATATATATATGCATGCACACATATATTGTTCCTATTAATTCTACCACAATTATTTGTGAGAGCAATGTTATTTTGCCTAAAATAATACCCACCCAATATATGAGTTCCTGGCAATAAAGCATGCCCACAACTAAACACAGGTGCAAAAAGAAGGGATAGGCTTTAATCTTCTGGCCACAAAAATTTAATACAAATGTATACATTTAAATACACCATTCTGTGAGAAGGTTCTCTCCAGTGTTAAGGCTCTAGGACATAAACAGGGGAAAGTTAAGACTGAAACAATGCACAACAGCCACTTTGCAGTATCTAGCTGTTGCAGCGCGAGTGCCACAAATACTCTGGCTTTGAAATCCTGCTCTAATTCTATTTACGTACTATCATAAAACAGAGAGGCTTTGATCTACCTGTGGCTCCTGAAGGGCACATATTAATTCACCTCCTTTGAGTCTTTCTCACGCACATAGTTATACCCTAGTGGGGCAATGTGCAAACATATCTCCTTTCTGCTTCTAGTTTCCGCAACCATTTCATGCAACAAGCTGAAAACAATTGTTTTCACCATGACACATCTGGAAGAGAATTACACACGCAAATACACAATGTTCCTGCTGCATATGCCACTCCCCACACACGCACCAACATAATTCATCTTCCTTATTTATGTATCCACCAAACACTACCATGTTTTAGATCTTGCTTATTTAACCAGTAATTATATTTTAGTCCCCAAACCACTGCATGATTCTAAATTTGTACTTATCCTTACTCTAAAAATAAATACGAAACCTTGCTTCCTTTGCTTTTAAAAAAAGTACACTTAGGACTAAAAAAAGACCCTCTTATGGGATAACTGGTATGATTTTCAAGATTATAGACTTACTAGTGGAATGTAGCTACCACAGTACAGCTTGTGCATCTGCACAGATTTGTATTTAAAAGCTGATGAACAAAAGCCACATGTTGAAAAATCCTATTTTGTTTGGCCTACTTTCAGCAATGCCTCACCATTCTCATTTCCCCCAAACTCATTTTACAATCCCAAGATGCCCATAAGAGGCCTGGAACACAAACTTACCATACTCTGACTGCTCCTTGGACTCAAATGTCCGGTGACTGGGTGCATGACCATCCCACCCACCGAGAGGGTTCAGGAAGTTGCTGTCCTCAGTAGTGCTGTCATACTTGTAGTCCTGGTCACCACTGCTCATGCGAGTCAAGGTGGAGGACCTCTGCCACCAATTTCTCCAGTCAGGTGATGAGACTGGCCAGCTAGGCTTGCTGTTTTCTTTCTGAAGGTCCTTGTCAGTTTCTGTGTCAGGGCCATCCACCACTTCAATGGTAACCTATGGGATTCAAAACAGGGCAGACTGCCTGTCACTGTCACCTCCTAGTCAGAGGGAGACTTTTTATACAGCAAAGGCAAATGACCGATGTTGCCTTGAAGGGGACTACGTAATAATGTAGGGGTAGCATGTTGTAGACCATATGTAGATTACTGAGCACAGAGATATGCAGAGGCTGAGTGATTCCTTCTGCTACCTCTGCTGAATCAGACCTTGGAACAAAAGCTAGGAAAAATACCACACAAAATAATAACCCATGCTGTGCCTAAAAACTCTGCAGCAGAAATTTCTGCCTTATGGGGAAAATATGTTCAAACCTGGACATTTATGACCAGGAAAATCATATCTGTTCCTCCAAATACTCTGGGGCTGAATTTGAAGCAAGCATGAAACGCACCAGTATGCAGAGCCTGTTCTGAGAGCTTAGACTGACTTAGCAGAGGACTAAGGAAGTCCACGGGTGTGAAGGTGGAGGACAGAGCCCACAGTCTGCATTGGGTCAATGCAGGTTTGCATCTGCCTTGCCCTATAGCAGCAGCTCAGCCTTGCCTCTCGCACTGTCCACTTGCAGTACCACGTTTCCATCATGCCCTGCCACATGAAACCTCTCTGCAGGGCTGAGAACTAGCGGCTTTTTCAGACATTGCTACATAAATCACTTGCTGCTACGGCACCTGAAGCAGGTCCTCCTGTGCTGCCGAGGGTAATGCTGTATGATTCATTCATGGCTCCTGCAGAACCTAGAGCCAAGATTCAAGTTTTGCCACCCCATTTACTCACAGGCATCAGGAATGCAAATATAATGCCACACAGGGACAGCCCTTCATTACTCGGGCTGAACAGTGTTTATTACATAACTCTTGGATAAATATTGTGTGTGTGTATAGGTGGCTATTTATGTACAAATAGGAACTACCCATCAGAAACCGTGGCTCTATGACTCAAGCATATTGAGACAAATCATGAAATGCTCTAATGCTTCAATGCTGGTGTGGTTCAGTGATTATATTGGACTGGCTAAGCATAGCACAGAAGTGAGAATCAGATATACCTATGTTTTCTTCATGCTCTGTAGACTTAAAAAAAATAAACTTTCAAGATAGTACTCCAGAAAAACTGGGTTATTTAAGAACTGGAAAATGCGTAATTATGGATGCTCTTCTGACTTTGAAGAAGAAAAACAGTTTCTACAGCTACCTGTAATTGATCTACAGAGGAATCTAACATAGGAAGCAAACCAAGGAGTTGCTGCCATAGCTTAGTAGCAGCAGGCACAACTATACAGACAAGACAATGCCCATGCATTCTTTTTGGAGAAAGAAGATTTTGAATCAGTTCAATCCTTTGCCTTTGACCATAGACAGACAGAGCCATTGAAACAGAACAACTTTGAGGCTAGCATGAAATGGCACTGGGAGAAAGAGCAAGAGCAATGGAAAGTGCAGTTGTCAGCCTAACAGAATCTTTACACAAGAGATCTTTTACTTCCAAACTAAATGTGGAATCAGAATTACTTCATTAACCTCAGTTTCTACAGACCAAGAATTAAAATGGATTTCATAAGTCTGAAAACAACAGGGTGAGTTCAGGGGTTCAAAACTGTGGCACTGACCAAAGCAAAACAGAGTTTTCACAATAAGTGAAAATAAATGATGTTACTGAATGGGTAATACTGCACTGCTGGCCAGTCAGAGGGCTTTAGTACTGACCGTGTGAAAATTAATATGACTATTACTTTGGTAACAAGTATTTTTTATGACCACATTAACTTTGTAAGCAATGACTCAGCAAAGAGAAAAAAAACAAAATTTTTTTTTTTTTAAATAGAAGCACTTGACAATCCATTTGCTTTGCTAAACTGTAGTTATATGACTGTGACCATAAGGATTTGGATTTAAGACACTTATTTAGGATTCCAAGTTAGTTTAAGCAGAGATGGTTTGTAGAGACACAGGGGCTTCAGTTGTGCTATGTGTTCCATTGAGGAAGATAGGCAGGTGAATTTCGGGCTCAAAAGACCTCATCAGACCTTCAGCAGCACCGCCATCAATTTACTTTCAAGACATGTCTGCAATCAGTCTGTGTGTACTACAAAACAGGTTTATTAAAAAGGCCTTTAAGTGAGTTTTCCAGAACACAAGGTGTGACAAATTTAATCTCGTCACTGCAAGCTTTAAGTCCTTACTCCATGTTAGCTAATGAGGAACAAACTGGGAACTACACAGCATTGGGATGACTCAAAGCCATGGGAAGGCACAGACTGTGTGCAAACATATGGTGCTTCTTTCAGTAATAGCTGGGCAGGGGAGAAGGAGTCCCTGCACTTTGCCACTTTTCCTCTTGTGTGACTGTAACTGACTCTGTAAGACTATTCTGTGTCACCCTTGAACTAGATAAGGAGTTATGGCCTGAGACCATCAATAATCCCTTTATCACAAAGAGAGAGGTCAGGAGAGATCCACCTCAGTGTAAGCAAGGTTTTTAAATAGGCTATTGAATCAATGAACATAAAATTTAAGTCCAGTGTAGCAGTCTGGCAAACACCAGTATTTCTCCTTCATAAGTTTTGATTACAAAGTTGTTTGCAATTTTAAAACCATGAAGTGAAAGAAATTCTGCAAGTCCTGGGACTATCTGACCTGCCAGGCTTGGCAAATTAAAAATAAAAATAAAAATAGATGACTCCAGCAGTCTAGTCCTGTTTGTTTCCAGGGAAACATCTGTGCCCTGCCCAGCTCCAGTAAACTCTAAGGCACCTTCCAGAGGCAGGAAGGAAATTGGCAAATAGCAACAGAGTGCCTCCAAGATATGACTTGAGGGCTAGGATGGAGGTGTGAGAAGTGGTTACTTCTTTGGGATAGGGAAGTAATTGCTTGACTGATGTACAGTTTTGAGAAATTAGCATTCACTGAATTCTTCCAATAGTTACAGTTAACCTTAACAACATTAGCCTATAACTATGCATATATATATATATATATATACACACACATATATATGTATATTTTATATATACATATTTTATACATATATATATATATATATATATATATATATATATATATATATATATATATATAAAATAGGCAAATACCTATCCTCCAATTCGTTTCCATACTGTTTTGTATTTACTTTTTTTTAATAACAATTAAAAAAAAGCAATCAGATCCAGAACTATAGCCATTAAAAAGGGGGCAGTTAAGACAGCTCTGGAAAAGCTCTCCCGTTGTATGATTCCAACAAAAACACGTTCTTTCAAAAAATAAGAAATAGACCTTGTTTAGTATTTTTATCACAAAGACTGTTTCAAAGACATTTTCCCTGTTTTCTTCTTCCAGAGATTATCAAAACTGCAAAGATGATTATTTATTTTTTTGTCACGCTTCCCAAGATGTCTGTGGTAACATGGTTCTTGTATAAATCCACAATCATCTTCAGAAGTATTCAACCCTAAAGTGAAGCCATTTCTTTTATGGTTGTTTGAGCTATAAATAAGGATGTTCCTCTAAAAATTGTTAAAAACAATTGGCATAGGTACATTAAAACAACAGATTTGCAATGAATTTCTAACGAAACAAATGTATCAAGCACAGATGTCTTGGGACATCAACATCCAATTCTCTCCTAGCCAAAAGTATACAGAAGATAAATATTATCCCACTTGCTGGAGTGCACAAAAAGTTCTTAAGTACTTTGTCCTGTTTACTGAGACAATGTTTCTGAATTCACTTTAATGGTGTAAACATTGCCCTAAGCAACTGGAAGATTATGTTACAAGAAGAAGTACACTTGCAATATTGTGCAAGCCATGGGTTCTGGGACATTTCTACTGCTGCCATCATGAAACTGATGCAAGTTTTCAGTGCAGAACTTGCCATCCTGTAAAGATGGATACGTGCAAGTCAGCAAGGTAAATACTGTAACAGCAGAACTGAAATTGATTAATTATAAGATACTGAAATGATAAGTTTAGGTTTACGTCACATAACAGTTGAGCTAAAATGATGTCTGTAGTGATGAAAAATTACTTCTGGTAATGTAATGACAGCTCACTTACAACAGTTTTCTGGACTCACCAGATGAAAGTGAAAGGTATTAAAGTTTGCTTGGAGCAATGAAGAAAATATGACTCAAATCCTGAAATTTTTGTTCCAATGGGCCTACCTGAATCCTTCAATTCAAGTTCTGGTCCCAAGCCCTGGTCTGAATTGTGCACTCTGTGGCAAGCTCTTCTTAACTATGACAGTAAATAACTGCAGAGGTCACAGCTCCGCTATAAGAAGCTGCTAGCCATGGCTTTCCAGCACCCAGCTCTGCCAAGACTCATCCTTCCAGGTTGCTAAGAGGACTAGCTTAGCTCCTGACATGGCTATGCTGTGCTTCTGCTGCTGCAGTGAGTGCAGCAAAGCAGACAGACTGACCAGGCAACTGCTCTTTGAAGCAGAGAGTTCTCCATAGTACAGACCCAGCTGAAGGAACAAGAAAAGGAACAAGCACTCTCCACTTTCCTGGGTTTTAACTTAACAGCAGCAATTGTCCCTGTTATCTCAAAGAATCAAACCATAAAGGCATTACAAGAACTCAGTGCTACCACAGCTCTCTTGTCCTTAAAGAGCTAGATTAGAGGTGGGACATCCTGGTTAGAACTCAGTGCCACAGATATTGCTGAATCTTTTGTGATGATACTAACATGGTGTTGCTTTCCACTGCAGTGAAACTAGCAGCTTCAGACATAAAGTTTCATACATTTTGGAGAAACATGAAGTTTCTCCAAAAAATAAATTTAATAAATTGTGTTCAAAGCTGTGTGATATGAATAGAGATGAGGAATGGATACTGATGAACCTAGAGAAGAGTTGAACTCTGTAGCTTTTTTTTTTTTTATTTAAAAAAAAGACAACCGTACAGCCTTGTTTCTCCTAGAGTGACTGGTACTGTGTATTTTTATTTACTTATTTCTTTTTTATTTTTTAAGAGATGGTAGAAATTGAGTAGATATCAAGGAATAGGAATCAACAAGGACAGGCTGAGAGAGCTGAGGCTGTTCAGCCTGGAGAAGAAAAGGCTCGGGGGACACCTGAGAGCAGCCTCTCAGAATTTAAAGGGAGGCTATAAGAAAGAAGAGGACATCAGCAACACCTATTGTCATAGGACAAGGGGAAATGGTTTCACACTGGAACATTGATGATTTCAATTGGATATAAGAAGAAAGTTTTCTACAGTAAGGATGGTGAGACAGGTTGCCCAAAGAGGTAATAGGTGCCCCCATTCTTGGGGACATTCAAGGTCAGACTGGACGGGGCTCTGAGCAATCTGATCTAGTGTAGGTGTCCCTGTTCACTGCAGGGGAGTTGAACTAGACGGCCCTTAAGGGTCTCATTCAACTCAAACAATTCTGTGAGAATAAATAAAACTAACAAAGAAGTACTGGTATGCCATGACTGAGAAAAACAGCCCACAGTTCTCAAGTGACATTTCCTCAAGCAGGCAGCATTAACTTCTGCCTTCTATTATTCCCAGTGCCACAATTTTCAGCAAGAATACTAATCAAAACAGATTTAATCATATGCTTTCTAAGACACGTCGACATTTTTTAGGTCAGAAATCCTGCCTAACTCTGTTTCTGTTCAGAACTTGTCTCGTCAACTGTCACAACTGGAACTCACCCAGTTGTATTTCAGGTATACTGGTTTTGACATCAAGATTCAAGTTATTTATAAGATCAGTATCAATGGAAAGCCTTTGCATGACAAACAGTAGGCAATTTTTTCCTTTTCTTGTTATTTGTTGATCACCACTGCTAGGAAAGCAGCAAAGTAGCAGGACAACCACCTACGCAAGAGTGGGAAACCAGGAGTAAGAAGGAGGGACATGAGCAAAATCTCAACTGCATGTTGAGGTCCCAGAGGAACAGCCAGGAAGGTGAGACAGAGTCTCAGGCCTCAGAGAACAGCTGTGAGGCCATAAAAGGCTGGTTAGGAGAAATGAGAAAAGCTGATCAAAAATGAAAAACAAGCAAGTTTCTATTCATCCCCTGCATGACTTCCTTCTGTTACTTAGAAGTATGAAATATTCTGTCTTACTCTGCCCGTTTACAAGGTCTGCATAAGCATCCCTCAGCTACTTTATGTCAAACAAGTGCAAATCTATGAAAAAAGAGACAAGAAAATGCAGAGAAAAACATGATCAACATTTTAAATCCCATTCTCTTCCTGAAGTCTCCCAAGCATTGAGAGAAAAGCTGAAATGACCAAAATAAAGAAAATCTAATACTTCAAACCAAACAACCAGCCTGTGCTTGACAGCTGCTGCTACAGTTACTCTAAAACAACCACTATGAAAGCAGTGCTGAGGCACAAAACGCCACTCAAAATGATGCAAGATTTAACAAGGCAAGAACACCACAGAAAGTCTTGTTTAGTAATTTGTGTCTTGCATGCAAAGAGTCAAACAGCATTTCCCTTACTGCAGGCTCTAATTATTGTTTCCGAGGTTTTTCTAGAAGGCAGGTCACTACACTTACATTTGATTATCACCTGATAAATACAGTAGTAGCCTGGGGGACATATTTTCCTGAATTCCTGTGATGGTGTTCTGAAATCCACTACTTCCTCTCCAAAAGAGCACATAACTAGGGCATGATATAGCAGTTACATTCTCACAGAAAACCAGAGAAGGAATGGCCATAAAGAGAACTCACTGAAGTTCTCTCTTCAAAACCTGCTTTCTTAGGCTGAATTTAACATCTGTTTAGTAGGTTTTTAAAATGTTTAGGTTATTTTTGATCCACATAGGCCTACACTAATAAAAGTGAAGAGAGGCTGTGGGTTCAAATCAAGGAAAGTACAAGGAAATTGCTAGGATATGGAGAGAGAAGTCTAGAAAGGCAAAAGCCCATCTTGAACTCAACCTGGCCAGTATGGTTAAGGACAACAAAAGTGTTTTTACAGGTATATTAACAGTAAGAGTAGAGCTAAAGAGAATCTCCATCCTTTACTGCATGCAGCAGGGAATGTGACCACTGAGGACAAGGAAAAGGCTGAGGTTCTCAATTCATTATTTACATGTATTTAATCTACCTGAGAGTGCTGGTGGAGGCAATAGCCAAGCTGCTTTCCACCATCTATCAGAGGTCCTCGCCAACTGGAGGGGTCCTCAGAGAGGCTTGTCAGTGTGACTCCTATTGAAAGAATGGTCATAAGGAGGATCTGGGGAACTGCAGGCCTGTCAACCTGACCTCAGTGCCAGGGAAGGTTATGAAATAGATCATCTTGAGTGCTAGCACATGGCATATGCAGGACATCAAGGGGATCAAGCCCACTGTTCAGTCTGGAGAAGAGGAGGCTCTCTACAACTTATTGCTCTCTACAACTGCCTGAAAGGAGGTTCTGGTGAGGTGGGAGTTGGCCTCTTCTCCCAGGTAACAATGATAGGATGAGATGCGAATGGCCCCAAATTGCACTAGGGGAGGTTCAGGTTGGGTACTAGGCAAATCTTTCTTCTCAAGGAGGTAGTGGAGTCACCATCCCTGGAAGTGTTTAAGGAAAGGGTAGATGTAGTACTAAGGGACATGGTTTAGTGGGCAATGTTGGTGGTAGGCAGATGGCTGGATAAGATTATCTTAGCGGTCTTTTCCAATTTTAATGATTCTGTGACTCTAAATTAATGCTCTTAGGATCATAGCTCACCGATCCCAAAGCCAGTGAGCAAAACAAAAGATGAGCATTGATTATGCCTTTGTTTGCCAAACAGCTGATGAGAAAATTGCTAGTCACTAACTGTTATTACTTAATATGCAAGAATTCCCTATAGCTTTTTTTTTTTTTTTTAATTCCCCCTCCTCCCCCATGAAAGAATAAACCAGCGTTTTACAATATTCAGGCAAAGAAATAAAATTTCTTCAAAGTCATTTCTACAAATGATTTCTTAATGAATTAATGAACTTTTTATCTCTGTAAGGCCTAAGCTGCTGCAGGACTGTCAACTAGGAACTTAAGGAAGATTTGCACATCCCTACTTATGCACCTGAATAAGTATAATACAGAACATAGGCAGCCTATTTCTGAAAGAATTGATCCTTACACGTAAGAAAAAGCTCTGGGATTAATGTTGCCCAATGTTTTCCAGTCTACAGGAAAAGGGTTTCCAGTTCTCAGAGTCCAGCAAAACTGCTGACTTAGCTGGCTGACACATTTCCAGCATCAGGTGGTGGAAAAAGAGGTCATAGCAGAAGCAGTTACTGTAAAGACAAGCCAGGGAAATGTTTCCATCCTCCAGTCATTTATCCATTCCCTAAGTCCAAACATAAAGCACTGTCACGAATCAGAGAAGGTTTTTGTCTCCTCCTGCCCTCCTCCATGGTTTACATACTGTCAGAACAGTGATATTACACTGTTTACCTCCTCCCACAATCTGGGGCCCTTATAGCTTCCCTACCTTCCCTTCCTGAGGCTTTTTAGAAGGATGTGTACAGGCACCACATGTTGAACGTGTTTACTACCTTGGCCTGTCAAGTATTGGACCTGCACTTGATCCAAATCGGTTAGACTTCTTAATGTTGCGAGCCATCTATGAAGTAATGGAGTGTTGACTTTGAGACAGCTTGTTCTCTCACGAATAGGTCTATTATATCTTTATGTATGTACTTCTTAGACATATCAAAAGGAATGGTAATTTTGTGGGCTGGGGAACTGCAAGAAGCCAGGAATTTATTTAGCCAGAAAACTAGTTCTATTAGCGTATTGTTTTTATAAGCACATCTTAGGCGGAACAACATTTCAATTTATTGTTTTGGTTAAAAAAGACTTCTTATTAACGCCAATTTTGCTTTAAGGTTCTGAATTAAAAACAAATCACTCATTTTTTCCTCTTTCTAAGCCTTGAAGTTTTAAAGATGCAAATGGCTTGCAAGAGGCCATTCCAAACCCAAGAATAGTTTGAGGAATAACATATAACAAAGTTTCTTGCAGACAGATTTTCTTTTACAGTTTTTCAGCTGCTGCAGAAATTGACTCTTAAGGCACAGTTCTATAGAGAGGACCACATTTTGAGAAGAAACTTAAAGACCTATTGTCATGCTGTAAAGCGATGGAAAGTACAGCAGTAAGAGTGAACTAGCACAATCCTAGGCAGCAGCAAATGAGAACAAACCCAAATGCAGCAGCTGCAGAAACAAAGAAAGAAAAACTGCTTACCTTTGGAAGACCTCTAGTAGGTAGGGATCTCCAGCAAGATACCCTTACTTCCAGTGCCAGTCTTTAAATGAGGCCTGGGAAGGGGTGGATCCTGGTTCCAGTCCTTCCAGTCACTCAGCTGCATTGCATTCACCAGCTTCCCTGGGTTGGCCCTGCCTTCCCACCAGGTGCTCAATCACTGGTGCAGGCCATGACTTAGCATTTCTGCTACACGTATTCTCTTATAACATTTGGGAATGGTGGCACTTTATAATAGCATACCAAAAGATTTGTTTATAAACAAATTTTATAGTGGAGAGTTGAAAGCAGAATTGAAAATACCCATTTAATATCAAAGAAGAGAATATATTCTAAAATGCAAAAGCAGAGATGACTTTAGTATCATGGATAGGTCTGCATTGATACCTACATTCTGCAATCAACAATATCCAAAGAGAAATTCAGAAAAAAACTGAAATCTATGCATTCACTGAAGACAAAGGGTATATACAATCTCTTTTTGGTAGAGAGGCAGGGTATACTGACTGCATCACATAGAAGCCAAGCTGAAAGTTCACTTGATTCAGTAAAATGATCCTGTGTAGCTTCATAAAACGTCACAGGTTAGCATAAATTTGTACCTGAATGTTGGGATTCTGCCCGTTGATATCGGCTTTTGACAGGTCAGGGAAGTTTGGGAGATCCAAAAGGAAAGATCTAGGTCCATCTCTCTGTAAGGATGTATGCCCATTTTCCTGCCTGAATCGTTGCTTAGGGAATGGCCGGTGGGCAGCCTGGAGATCGGGGTATTCTCTTCTGTCCTCGGGGTTCAGGCTAAAGCTGTCTTCAGGAGAATGGTCATCTGCAGTGAGCGTGTTCTGGGAAAAAAAGCAATGCACTATAACAACAACTGAGGTGCAATCCTGCCAGCACCCCCACATCCAACTTTCTGCTAATGATGCCTGCAGAGTGCAGATAGAGGTTCTTATGGCATCCTGACCCAAAGCTGGGTTCTTAAACAAACAGGAATTGTGATGTATTTTCTCAGGTTTCATGAGTTTGACATGAGTTTGACTTGATTCTCACTGAAATATACTCAGTTACACTAGTGGGGATCTGTAACCATATGACACATGAGAAAATTAAGTCAGATTCGGGTGCTTAGGTCAATTAGGTTCCTGGAACATTCCAGCCTTCAAGTGACATCAACATACTAACACAAGCATCTAACTTAAAGCAGTTCTGAAAACATGAATAACTGAGGCAAGCTCTGTGAAATCAAGTTATATCAGATTAAGCCTGATCTATCTGTAAGTGTTCACATTCATTGTGCAGGAGTTGGACTAGATGATCTTTAAAGGTCACTTCCAACTCAAATGATTCTATGATTCTATGTCCCTAAAATGGTAGAAGGATATCTTTACTACAAAGCATTTCAGTTTGCACTGTTCCAAACTGGAGCAAAACCCCTGACTGTTAAGTTTTAGTTCAAATTCATGATATGAAAGGATCCTACTATGTTGAATTGGCAGCTTCCTTCTCTCTCCTTAGTTTGCAGCGACTTCCATCTAGCTGTCTGTCTTTCTCACCCGACTTCTCTCGTCTTGAACATCTGAACCTTCCTTCCTTCCTTTGGGATCTCATTTTCATGTTTGCCTAATGGTGGGATTGAATTTCATCAAGCTGTGGGTCAGCAGTTAATGCTTTTGTTATTGCTGAGCGTACTTTTGGGTTATGTAGTTTATTACAGCAGGCTGCCTTCAGACCAGTAGCACTGCTGTCACTGCTGCTTTTGACCTCACCAAGGAGCTACATTCAGTATCAAAACACCCCCTGGGTTAGGACTGGCCTGGGGACTTGGGGGGAAAAAAAAAAAAAGAGGTAGACAAATCAAATCTTCTTACAGCTACAAAAAAATGCGTGGGGCTGATTGAACGTAGGTTTTGCTTTTGACTCAGCTGAAGAATTTTAGGTTTGAGGTCTTAGTATGACTGCCTGGGGAGCTTTTATTTTCAGTTCATAAAGAGACAGCAAGAATGGATAGGGTAAATGTTAAAGACATATCTTTTAAAACAAGCACAATTAAAGTGGAGTGGCCACATGTGGTTCTGGCTCTTCTTAAGCATGTTTTTGCCAGCATATCTGGTTAAACACAACCTCCATCCAGCTCCTCTGGCTCAAATTAAGCTAACATACCTTTTGTTAAGGTCTCAAATAGGCAGCAATTCCAATGCCTTTTCCTTTATTTTCTGTTTATTTGCACAGAATGTTCTAAAATGACCTTTGAAGAGATTTTACAATAAAATCTGTGCACACTTACAGGAAAAATGTTCAGGGATTTAAATAAACCAAGATTTAAGAGTTAATCTGGGACTAAGTGAAATCTCAAGTAAAAGGCATTTCTCCTCTCCCCTTCACTGCATTGCATTTGTAAAGAAGCGCAGAGTCAGATTTAGTAGTATTGAACTGTTCGTAGTACTTTTGTGATCAGAATGGTTACACACTGAAAGTCCCAAAAGACCATTACTCATCCATCACCAGCACTGGTGAACAAAGTTCATTCCAAATTCATTCACAGGCATGGGTTAGTTTATGTGCTCTTAACTGAATTGTCTGAAAGCTAAACCAGGGATGCTACTTTTCACTGCAAACCGGGCAAGATGTGTCTTTGGTGGGCCATCCATTAGCACACACCTTATTTAATACAAAGTAGAAAGTAAATCACACTAAGCTCTGGGAAACAAAACCAATGGCGACTTAGCTAACTTTAGGTTCCTTTCCCATGTGCTTGAGCTTTAACTTAACACTTAACCAACAGAACTTAATTTCAAACTTGGCACATGAGGATTAAATGGTTTGTAAGTTCTGCCTGATCAACAAGGAGTAACTGCACTGTTATTAAATTACTTCAAAAAGGAACAAAAAAATGAGGTATTTTTAATTTCTTTTTTTCCTGGGGTGTCATGCACATAATCTCGCCTTTATTAAAAATAAAGTGAGATTTTGTTAAAAAAATAATGCACTTCTCACATATAGTTTCATACTTATTTGCTTACAAAGTCAGGAGCATCTTGATTCTGTGTTACCATCCCATACAGCTGGAGAGCTGGCCAAGGACTTTAGAGACCTACTTTTAATTCTCTGATAAGGCTCCATGTGTGATCTTGTTAGGTCACGGTCTGTCTGTGCCTTGATGGGGATAACAGCACTTCCCTCCCTCCCTGTGATGTTCGCGGGGAGCTCAGCAACTACAATAATATGGACTATATAAAAAGATTTTAATAGTGTCAGACAGATGGAATATCACATGGAGTTAGTTAGAAAATTGTCATGGTGAAGTAATGACATCAGGCTGATCGGGCCCACTACCAAGCTGCTTGGGGCAGGGGCTGTCATTAATTACAGGCTCATTGAGTTGGGGTTGTTGAACATTAAAAAGGAAAATGGAGGGGGAATGTGGTAACTGTCCTTACCAAAGACTGCTGCACAGAGAAGATAGTAGATTGTAGAAGATTGTCCACTCTGCATGGTCAGGGTGGACATAAGAAGACCCTGGTTCAACACTAGTAATACGTTTCTAATGGCAGTGTCAGTGAGAAACAACTTCAGAATGGTTCAGCTGGAAGGAACGACAGAGATCACCGAGTGCAACTGCCTGACCACTTCAGGGTCAACCAAAAGTCAAAGCGTATTACTGAGGGCATTGCCTAAATGCCTCTTGACCACTGACAGGCATGGGCCATCCACCACCTCTCTAAAAAGCCTGGTCTGGTGTTTGACCACCTTGTGGTAAAGAAATTGTTCCTCATATCCAGTCTGAACCTCCCCTGGTGCAGCTTTGTGCTGCTCCTTCATGTTCTGTCACTGGCCGCAGATTCAGCTATCATCTGCTCACAGTACCAGGAGGAAAAGACCATTTTTTCTCAGTTATTAAAATGAACGGGAGGTCTGGTTTTAGACAGGTAAATCCTAGTGTTGTGTCTAAGCTGATGTGCGGTGTTACTAAAAATGCATATTTTTAGTACAAACATAGCAGAGCTGCCATGGATAAAAAGTGAGCTTGTACCTGACAAGCAGATTGCAGGCTCGCTGGTTTCCCGCATTACCTCAGGCAAAGGATCTCCCAAGGTCTGCCTACAGGGAGAAGGCTGTCCTCGCCACAATGCCAGTGTGACTGCTGAAGAAAACAGTGTTTGTGTTATAAGGCTAACTGATGAAAATGTGTGGAGGGATATCCTTCCCTACTTATTTCTAAGTTATTTCACATGTTTTTACTTCACGGTATTTATTTTTAGGTGTACGTAATTTGTATTTCCAATTGTTTTTGGGAAAGCAAAGTTGCTTCCCTTGATTTAGAAACCATGTCGTTTCATTCTGAACTACTGACTCAGTTTCTTTGAAGTTACGACATTTCTAAATCAGGCACATCATTGGTTTCTTGCTCAAATGATGCATCTGCTCTGAATATTTTAAGATAAATTAGTTTTTTTGTCCTTCATTTAACAGGATTATTCATAATTTTTCATTAAGATGACTTTTAAGGAGTTACTCTTCATTGCTGTCAGCTACAGTTCTGCTGTCACCATGGGATCAGGAAGTCCCTAGTACAAAACAGCTAAAGATTTCTGAGTGTTCTGTGTGGATAGTAAAGAAGGGCAGGAACTCATTATTCACAGCCGTGTGACAAGGCAGTGAATAAACCCTACAGAGGGAATCTGCCACGCTGTTTGCATTACACAATAACATACCTTGCCATACTCATCACTGGAAAAGGGAAGGCAATAATTCGGTACCCCATGTCTGACTGGTGTGGGCTCTAGAGGGATGGCAAATGGACAGTACGGTAAAAATACGTTAGAAAAAATAGTATGGGGATAAAATGTGATATTGTCTCCTTCACAACAGAAACTCTACAGGGTGGAGTGTGAAGGATGAGTTGTGATGTACAAGAAAGTAAAAACAGACCCAGAGTATTGTTTTCCCATCTCTGCCACCAACTGCTGTGAGACTTGATGAAGTCACTCTGATCTGGTTTAAAATCCCATATATCAACGCATTTGTGTCTAGGGAAGAACAATTCATGGGCATTTTTTTGAGTATAACTAAATGTTGGTGATCCAGGTGGGTAAAAGGCATCACCAGTGTGTGTTCAGCACGGCAGGCAGGAAGAATTTCCTACTGCAGTTTAACTTTTTGATAATCAAACAGGTATTTTAACTCTGTCCATTGCTTTCTTATTTTTGCTTCCTTTGTCATGTTAGATGTGAGCTGCAGGGAAATGCGCCGTTTCCTTCCCATAGAAAGTTAAACAGAAATGAGAACTTCTAAAAATACTCAGCTAGGAGACAAGAGAAGTTCTCTCTATTTTTTTATCAGGTGAAGAATCCATCTCCCTCCTCTCTTCCTTATTTTAATTTCCAGATTTGGAAAAACAACTGAGACAGAATAAGGGATGAGCAACTGGAACTATGGAAAATACTCTGGAGGAGCTGCTCTTTCTCTCCTACTTCTTTCATACTCACCTTCCTTCATTCCCTCCTCACTTGCCAAGCTGAGGACACGTTTGCAAGCACTGCTAATGATAGAGCTGAAAGAATGATGAAAACTGATGCAGCTTATAAACCTAACAACTGCCAGACAGAGAGGGAATCTATTACCAAATCCTTGCTGCAGCTACACTGCTTTTTTTTATTTCTTGTATACTCCTTTGAAATATCTTGTAAAATGATCTTGACAAGAGGTCTTGAATTGGAACCCGACAGTCTGTCAGTGCACTTTCGTAATGCACCTGTACTGCATCTTCAACCACTAGCAACAAGGAATGTTTATTTATTAGGAAACTTCACAGATGCTATAAAAGATTATATTGCTATCAGAG